TTTCAACTTACCAAAAGTTTTATAGGACTGCTATTCTTTGAGATAGCAGGGGGAAATCTGTATATCCACCCAGTGTAGTATTACTCATCCAAAGAAGGAATACTACCGGATGACTCTGGACTATTCATTTGGCCTTTTGGACCTCAGTTGTGCCATTTGAAGCATTATCATTCCATATAAATGCATTAATGTAGAAAATCATAGCGTACAGTGCCTAACACAGAGCAGCACTCAATCAGTGGGAGCTTAGTGCTTTTATTGCTGTAATGGCAATAGAGGGCTATTTCCATAAACTTATTTTTAAATACAGCAATACCAAAAGTAGGTTATGATTAATGTAAAATACCAGCTACAAATCTGAGTTACATATTTTTAAAAGAGATTTTTTAGTAGACATAGATTTGAAAATAGAAACAAGAACATGTCTGGAAGGATATTTTCCAAAGTTATTAATAGTTGTTATAGGATTATGGACATGATTTTCTTTATCTATACTGAATATTATATAAATATAAGAAATATGTTATATAAATATAGGAAATATAAATGCAAAACCACAGTATAGTATTGTTGCTCCAAAAAACATAGACAAATTGAGAAATTTATCCCAAAAGGTAGAGAATGAAGTGCTAAGAAGTATAAAGGAGGTGACAAAGAGTTTGCATCAGGAAACAGATTTATCTAAGGTGGCAATTAACCTCTGGCTTAGAGATATTTTTAAGAAGGATCATAGAATAATCAGAAGTTGTCATCAATACCATAACTAAAGGAAACTTTCATTGAACTAAAATAAAGTTGCTGACCCATGGTGATGTGAAATTACTCGGCATGGCTCTTTCCCAGTCTTTGTAACGTCCATCAAATGACAAGGTGGGAGCATGTAAATCGGATTATGAACTAATGTGAGTTTTTCCATTCAACTGGGTATAAAGTGAGCCATCTCAGAAGCAGAGACAGAGAACCCCATGACGATCAAAAAAGAAGACCCACCAGTAAAGCAGGACTGTGTTCCCTGCACAGAAAAGTGATTGTGGGTGGGGCAATGGCGCCCAGAACTTAGCAGTGTTTTCCCTGCCCACAGAGTGACTCAACCTGAGTGCCATTGGTCAGGAGCTGACAAACAGAGTGAGATGCCCTTTGGCCTTTTGTCAGCACCAAAGGAGCTTTGCAATACTTGTCCAAGCAGGGTAGAGGCCAAGGGGTTATGTGAATGAAGCTGAGCATCACACAGAGAGAGATGTGCCTGCTGGCATAGATGAGAAGTGCAGTGGAGAAAAGAGCTGTATCCTTAATGTTTCTGATTCTGACTTGTAATCTATTAACTTCCCTAATAATCCCTGCTCCCCATAATTGTGGGTATTGTCTATTGGTAGTCAGAATAGGGTAAAAAACTTGACCTCTGCTCCATAGAAAGCATCGTTGAGCATAGGTGGACATGGATTGTCCTTCCCCTACTGAAGCTGGAGATGGGGCATGCTCCCACCATTTCAGCAATTAAGTACAAAAGGCTTACTGTGTTCCAACCAAGTTCAATGAAAAGAGGTCTATAGTGGTGGAAAACTTGACTTTCCTCAGTAGGTTAAGAAATGTTATCCCAGCATTCCTTCATCCAGTAAGGGGGTTAAAATAGCTACAAAGGTGGAGACCCAAAGCCCATCTGTAGGCCACTGGACATCCCCTTA